TTCGGCTCTATTGAGTGCCGGAGAGTGGAAAGTTGCATCAAAGTCACACTACATGAACGCAACTCATACTGTCCTATGAACCATGAAAGAATGCAAAATGAGCACAAATGTGTTAAAAAATGAGGCAAAAACCTGTTCAAAGATGAGGCAAAAATGTGCTCAAATATGCAAAATGAGCAAAAATGTGTTAAAAAATGAGGCAAAAACCTGTTCAAAGATGAGGCAAAAAAAATGAGCGTGTTCAAAGATGCAAAATGAAAGATGCAAAAACGTGTTCAAAAATGCAAAAATGAGGCAAAAACGTGTTCAAAAATGAGGCAAAAACGTTTTTAATAAATGAGGCAAAAACATGTTCAAAAATGAAGCAAAAACGTGTTCAAAAATGCAAAATGAGGCAAAAACATGTTCAAAAATGAAGCAAAAACGTGTTCAAAAATGCAAAATGAGGCAAAAACGTTTTAAAAAATGAGGCAAAACATGTTCAAAAATGCAAAATGAGGCAAAAACGTGTTCAAAAATGCAAAATGAGGCAAAAAAAATTTTAAAAAATGAGGCAAAAACATTTTTAAAAATGAGGCAAAAACATGTTCAAAAATGAAGCAAAAACGTGTTCAAAAATGCAAAATGAGGCAAAAACGTTTTAAAAAAATGCAAAATGAGGCAAAAACATTTTAAAAATGAGGCAAAAACATGTTCAAAAATGAAGCAAAAACGTGTTCAAAAATGCAAAATGAAGCAAAAACGTTTTCAAAAATGAGGCAAAAACGTTCAAAAATTAAGCAAAAACGTGTTCAAAAATGCAAAAAATGAGGCAAAAACGTGTTCAAAAATGCAAAATGAGGCAAAAACATTTTAAAAAATGCAAAATGAGGCAAAAACATTTTAAAAAATGAGGCAAAAAACATGTTCAAAAATGAGGCAAAAACGTGTTCAAAAATGCAAAATGAGGCAAAAACGAGTTCAAAAATGCACTGGAAAACCGCATCAACCGCAATCTACATAGATGTGAACCTAGCCTTAAACAGTGCTAATCAGGGGCGGACTGACAACTCAGGACACAGGGGCCCCTGGGCAATAGGGGATCATGGGCCCCTGTGTCCTTGCCCAAACTCAAAAAAGCCTATGAAAAAGGTTTTCAGGGGCATCTCATGGGGCCCCCTACTGACCCCCGGGCCCTCGGGCAGTGCCTGAGTTTCCAAATGGTCAGTCCGTCCCTGGTGCTAAAACAGACAATGGGTAATGCTCAGATGCACAAAGACAAATGACATTTATGTCCTTTTTTTCCCACGAATTGAGCTTTCCTTTGGTGGTATTTGATCACCTCTGCGGTTTTTATTTTTTACGCTATAAAAAAAAAACCCAACCATTTTGAGAAAAAAACAATATTTTTAATTTTTGCTATGAACCTGAGTCTGAAAAACTAAAAAAAGCTAAAAAATTCTTCTTGCGCCAAGTTAAACACCCTACTACAGGATCTATCCTGCTGCTGTGCAATGTGGTGAACACAAAATGTGATAAATATAAATAAACAGCGCAAACATAGACCTTTAAATCAAATCAATATACAAAGTGCAAACATATATAACAAATTATATTAATAAGTGAAGTCCATCATGGTTAATAGACAACAAAAGTTCAGAAAATCTCAAAAAAATATTTTGTGCAAAAAAATTTTTTTTTTTTCAAATTCTTCTTCTAATGAAAGAAAAAAACTTCCACCTTCCACCCGTGCAAACCAACATCAAATGCACTCACCAGATTTAGGTGAATGAAACGCCTTTTAGGAATTTATATGGGATCCTAAACCCTCTTTCGTATCCACTCTATAGGAATCCTCAACCTTCAGTGTAGGCTCCACCATACAACCGGGGAGAGAAAAATCTCAGATAGTGTAATATTGCAAAAACCATTCATAAGTGAAATCAAGGATTAAGGCCACTCACATTTAAATCACTTTAAAAAGGCATATTTAATGAGGACAAGCTTCTTCCAGATGGACAATGACTGTAAGACAACCTCCCATGGAATCTCACATCACAGCTCCAGGATACAGCGAAGTTCCACAGAGACCAAACATACACAGATCCCAAAAGATGGCTGCTGGAACGCACCGCTCAGCGTGCGCTCCACTCACCGGAAGTGACGTCAGACGTACGGGGCATAAACAACCGGAAATGCGTCAACCCGTTTCGCCCCTCCCATTGGGCGTTCTCAAAAGACGTCCATTTCCTGTCTGAAGCTCCCTTACATACCCAACATGGACCCACCCCTCCGTTACAATTGGTCAAAAACACATCCCAGGATTATCAAAAAACCACTCCTCCTGTTATGTGACTCAGAGTCCTTTACAAATGAGGCATATACCTACACAACTTAAAAACCTTTTTAAATTATTCCCATCACCACTTAATTTTCCTCCCAGCAACAACATGTATATTACCACATGTCCTTAGTGGGAAAAAACATAAATATAATTTAAAAATTGCCTACATATTACAAAAAACATTCTTTATTAAATGAGTAATGAATGACATCACTGCTGAATTTGAGTGAAAATAAAAATAAATATAAAAATAAAAATAATAATGGTTTATAAAATAAAAATAAAGTTAGAATTAAAATTAAAATTAAAATAAACGGCCGGGGACGGGAGCAGTGCAGGAGCGGGTTGCCATTCATAAATGGCACCTGCATTTACAGCCTGTGTGCGTTCCCCTGGGAGCGCGCGGCACCACGATCTGTTGCCCGCTGTGTCCTCTTGACACAACGGAACACCTATCACTGTCCTGATCATGTGATCACTGATTGGCCAATCAGTGATCACATGCAAAGTAGTAAGCAAGATGTCACTTGTGACATCATTGCTTACTACTAGTGAAATCTGTGAATGATCACAGAGGTCACATGGTACAAAGTTATTCACAACAGCCTTGTACCATGTGACAAGCTGCGATCAATCACAGATCTCACAGTATTTCTCAATGGCTGCAAGAATGCCAGAGAGGAGAAATGATTGCTTTTACAGCCTTTATGGGTATAAAAGCAATCAGTGTAAAAAAAAAAAAAATCTTCAACCCCCCACAAGTAGTAAAGTGTCACCATGGTGACACTGCCACTGCTAGGGTGACAGTATGTTAACAAAAAAATAATAATAATAATAATAATAAAAAAAAAAATGTAAAACAAAATTTTGAAAAATTATAATTTTTGGTTATAAACTAATTTGGCTTATTTATTTATTTTTTACTAAAAAGATAACTGAATAAATTTTAGCCAAGATTTATGAAGAAAGATTATTTATTTGCAAAATTTTATAAGAAAAACACAATTTTTCAAAATTTTTGGACATTTTCATTTATATAGCAAAAAAATAAAAATCCCAGCGGGGAATAAATACCACCAAAATAAAGTTTTATCTGCTTCAAAAAAATGCTAAAATATTCATATGGGTACAGTGTTGCATGACCGCGCAATTGTCATTCAAAGTGTGATAGCTGAAAGCTGAAAATTGACCTGGGCAGGAAGGGAGTGAAAGTGTCCGGACAGGAAGTGGTTACACATGAGAATGATGTGATGAGAAAGCTTTTTTCTCAACACTGTCAGTCTTTTTTTGTTTTTAGCTCAAAAAATAAAAACTGCACAGACAATCAAATACCACCAAAAGAAAGCTCTATTTGTGGGAAAAAAGGCCATAAATGTAATTTGGGTGCAGCGTTGCATGACTTTGTAATTGTCGGTTAAAGTAACGCAGCACTGTAACGCAGAAAATGGCCTGGTCAGAAGGGGGGGGGGGGAATAAATGCTCTGGAGGGCAAGTGTTTAATATGTCTGCTTGTGCATCTGAGCATTACCCATTGGCTGGTGTTCACATTGGCGAGGTTCACATCTATGCAGGTTGCGGTTGATGCGGTTTCTGGCGCATTTTGCATTTTTGAACACGTTTTTGACGCATTTTGTATTTTTTAAAAAATTTTTGATGCATTTTGCATTTTTTTTAATGGTTCATAAGAAAGTGTGACAGTTGTGTTCATGTAGTGTGACTTTGATGCAACCTTACACTCTCTGGCACTCAAATAGCATCCAAGTCGAACTACATGAACACAACTGTCATACTTTCCTATTAGCAAAAAAAAAAAATGCAAAACGCAACAAAAAAGCATCAAACACGCAACACTTGCCTTTTTGGTGGGGGTCTTTTGAAGTCTATTACACAAAAAATGCAATCTGCTGCGGGAAAAAAGTCCCTAACCCTTTCCAAAAAATGCCCCGGCTCCAAACGCATGGATGTAAACTAAATCCATAGGACGCCATGTTGAATGGACTGCAGAGCATTTCTACAAACTGGAAAGCATATTGAAATCTGCATAAGTGTGAATCTAGGGTCCGGGGGAAGATTGAGGACATTGTTCTGCTGTACAGCCAGCTGATGTCATGTTGCAGCGGAACTTCATTCAAAAGAGGAAGTTCCACTTCTTTTCATCTCTCTCCTCCTCTTTAATTATTGGCTTTTTTGGGGTTTTGACAGGTCCACGCTCCCACTTCTGCTCCCCCCCTCATTCCCCTTTTGGGACATATCACAGGCCCCACAAAAACGCAGCGCAGCTCACACATGTGCAGTAGGAACCGGCTGGACCCTGATTGAACTGACTGAAGAATCGGCTTGGGTGAGGACTGCGCTGGATCCCTGAACAGGCAATAGTCTTACATTAGCCGCTTGTCAACCACGCTATAGCTGAATGATGGCTACAGCGCGGTTGTCCAGTCCTGGGAGGGCGTCATATGACGTCCTCCCAGAACACGCCCTCCCACGTGCCCCCGGGGGCACGCACCTGGCAATCTCTGTGGTCGCTGTGTCCTACAGACACACCTGATGATCAGTGCCCAGCAATGCCACCCACCAGTGCCGCCCACCTGTGCCCAGCAGTACCACCCACAAGTGCCCAGCAGTGCCACTCACCTGTGCCTATCAGTGCCCAGCAGTGCGACCCACCTGTACCCATCAATGCCTAGTAGTGCCACCCACCTGTGCCAAGCAGTGCCACCCACCAGTGCCCACCAGTGCACCCCGTCAGTGCCACCCATCAGTGCTGCCCATCTATGCCACCCATCAGTGCCCAGCAGTGCCGCCAGTCAGTGCCCAGCAGTGCCGCCAGTCAGTGCCACCCATCAGTGCCAATCAGTGTTGCCTATCAGTGCCCATCATTGTTGCATATCAGTGCAGCATCATCAGTGCCAGCTCATCAGTGCTGCCTATCAGTGCTGCCTATCAGTGCCCTTCAGTGCTGCCTATCAGTGCCGCCTATCAGTGCCCACCAGTGCCGCCTATCAGTGCTCATCAGTGCTGCCTATCAGTGCCCATCAGTGCTGCCTATCAGTGCAGCCTCATTAATGCACATCAGTGAAGGAGAAAAATGACCTTTATTTTCCAAATTTTTTGCTCTTTTTTTGTGTATAGAGCAAATAATAAAGCACCCAGTGGCGATTAATTACCACCAAAAGAAAGCTCTATTTGTGTGAAAAAAATTATAAAAACTTCATATGGGTACAGTGTTGCACGACTGCACACAATTGTCTTTCAAAGTGCGACAGCGGTGAAAGCTGAAAATTGTCCTGGGCAAGAAGGGGGTATAAGTGCCCTGTAGGCAAGGAGACACATAGGGGTAGGTTTACTAAAACTGGAGCACTCAGCATCTGGCACAGCTGTGCATGGTAGCCAATCAGCTTCTGAGCCCTGGGTCACACTGTGCAGGCTGGTTGCGGGTGTGGGAATCACATCTGTTCCTGCACCTACAACCACCCGCAGCCAAATCACATGGGGCCAGGGGCGGACTGACAACTCATGGGGCCCTAAGGGATAATGGGGCAATAAGGGATCATGGGGCCCCTGTGTCCTTGCCCACACTCAAAGCACACCCAAAAAAGCCTATAAAAAGGTACCAGGGACATTTCATGGGGCCTCCTACTGACCCTGGGCCCTCGGGCAGTGCCTGAGTGCTGGAATGGTAAGTCCGCCCCTGCATGGGACTACCATTCATTCTGTATGGCACCTCCACATATCTCAGCATGCAGCATGTTTGTGGGTGTGGGAACTGCATGGAAATCGCATGGCCAAAAAGACCATGCGATTTCCCTGCGAGTTCATTTTGAAAAAAGGTGCATGCACTTTTTTTATTTGGTGGAAAAATGCAAGCACAGCAGTCCATTCAAATGAATAAGCTGGTGTGCCTGTGCAAACATGGGCCGCATGGCCTGCACAATTGTGAGCCAGGGCTAACTTCAGCTTGTTCAGTTCAGCTAGGGCAATAAAACCTGGAAGATGATTGGTTTCTATGCAGAATTGCACCAGATTTTGCACTCTCCAGCTTTAGTTAATCACCCTCATATTATTACCTGTGTTAACGTGGAACTTAAAGTGGTTGTAAAACCCAGACATGAAATATGAACTAAGCATATCCCTCTATAGAAGGGTTTCTCAACCAGGATTGCATGGAACCCGAGGGTTCTTCCAGAGGTTGCTAGGGATTCCTTGAGCAATAAGTAAATTCTGCTTTTCAGATAAGTTCTTTTTAGCTATCTGCAAGGTGGCAATTATTCCCAGTGACCACAAGAGTAAGGAGCAGTCTTCCATCTGACCATCACACTAATGTATCATGAGTTGTAGATATACAGTAGTCATTTTAGCAGGGGTTCCCTGGGATTGCAAAGTTATTTCAAGAGTTCCTCTGCGTTGAGAAGGTTGAAAAAGGCTGCTCTGTAGTGTGCACTTGTCTCAGTTAAGAGCACTATGTGTGATTTCTGTCTGCTGCTTCATTCCTCTGCTATCTCCATGAGTCGCATTTAACAAGTTTCCTGACACCAAGAGAAAAAAGGTGACAGGGGAGGGGCCTCCAGCTGATTGACAGCCTCAGCTCTATTCCTGTGTGCTGTGTGAAGGGGGTGTGTCCCTTCCCTCCGATCAGCTCTCAGCTCTCCTCACTGAGCTCTGCAGAGTGTAACTTGTGCTCTCTGCCTTAATTTTTTCACAACTCAGACAAGCTTTATAAATTCTGGAGTTTGGAGGTCTGTAGAGAAGAGAATACTGCAGATAAACAGGTACAACTTATGTAGGAGAATTTGTTTCATCTTTGTGTATCACCTGAGGCCAGTCACTTCACTGGGTATATGTGAGGGTTTACAACCACTTTAACTGTATCTGAGCACCACAAACTGAAAATGCTCAGGTTCAGTTATTGCGTAACCTGGTATACCCCTAAAGACGTCAGTATGACGAAACGCTGCATCAGGGTGGGCTGGCAGGAAGTGACATCAACCCGCTGACATGTCGTGTGGTGAGAGATATGTCTGAATGTAGAGCAAGGCTTGTCAATGGCGGCAGAGCTGCTATCATAAATGACTAATCGCTTTGTCCCTGGTGCAAGGCGGTGCACCTTTTAATGCTAGTGAGCATTTGTAGGATTTCACAGAAGTTTTAAATAAATTGAGGATTTTACGCCATGCAAGGTTTTCTTTTCTTTGGCAATATCTGACCATGAGGGAGGATTGCTGGTGGAGGAGGGTGAGCTGCTGCTCCTGGATCCACTTCCCTTAAAGGGGAAAAGACCCATATCGTGAAAATAGGGTCACGGTGATCCGGTGAGTGTTCTGTGTCAAAGGTGGTGGCACTCTTTCCTCATTGGCTCACTGGCTGTGATTGACAGCAGGGGGAGCACCTTTGGCACTCAGGCTGTCCCTCTCAAGAGCCCGGCCATCAAGTGAAAGAAATTTGGGTGGCAGACCAGCCCATTAAAGTGATAATAAAGGCAATTAAAGGCAGGTAAAAAAAAATAAAATAAACATTTCATACTTACCTGACCTGCTCTGTGCACTGGTTTTGCACACAGAAGCCCCAATTCTCCTCTTCTGGGGTCCTCCACCTGTGCTCTTTGCCCCTCCCTCCTGCCATGTGCCCCTAGAGCAAGCACCTTGCTCTGGGGGCACCAAAACAGGTTCGCTCCCGAGCTGCTGCTCAATGTGTCTATTCACACACAGAGCCACGAATTGGCCCTGCCCCCTCCCTCTCCTCATTGGCTCACTGGATGTGATTGACAGCAGCATAAGCCAGTAGTTCTAGATGCTGTCTCAGCCAATGAGGAGAGAGAGTCCCCAAAGAGCCGAGGCTCTCGTGCACATTGCTGGATCGAGATGAGCCTAAGGTAAGTATTAGTATGGCTGGGGGGGGGGGGGCTGGCTGCTGCACACAGAAGTTTTTTTTTTTTATCTTTGTGCACAGAATGCACAAAGGTAAAAAACCTTGAGCCTTTAAAACCAATTTAATCTCTATTATTGGTTTATTTAGCGCAACTATAACTGTATGATTGATATATTCACACACTATTGAGTGGAGATAACTGCATCTTAAACTTTTTATTTTTTTTATTTTTAGTCTTTTTTGTTTGTGGTGCAGGTTTTGTGTTTTTAACAGGGTTGCTTTAACCTTTTAACCAGCCAGACTGCGTGTTAGCCCTGGTTCACGCTGATGCGATTCCTGATGCACTCCAGAAAGCATGAAATCGCAGGACAAGTGCAATAGCATGAGCTTCTTTGGAGGCCGTTCACATATAGGCAATGTAATTCCAATGCAATTCAAAAAAGGGTCCTGTGCGAGTTTAGTGCAGTGCGGTGCGATTTATAGCTACAGAGACTAATGCAGGCCATAGATGGGGCGAAAACCAGTGTTTTAAAAAAAAAAAATTGGTCATTTAATCGGCTGACGTTACCACCAACGTTAAAAAAAATCGGCCCGTCTACGGCCAGCAAATATAATAGCGGAGTATTACTTCTGTCCATGCAGAGAGCTCCGCTATTATATTTGACATTAAAAAGTATGCAACATTGTATCTATTTGTATCCATTTCGGATACAGATGGTTTTATTTGGATACATATAGATACAATGTTGCAACCGCTATACTTTTTAATGTCAAATATAATAGCGGACTGGAATTCTTTTTCTTTTACTTCTTTTCTTCTTCTTTTTCTTTTTCTTCTACTTTTTCTTGCAGGTCACGGTTCATGCGCAGATTTTTTATCGGTAAAAAGATCGGCCAATTTGCCAATCATTGCCGTGAAAATCGGCAAATCGGCTGATTTTTTTCCAACATTACCGATAAAAAAAATGTGCCAAAATCCCGAAAAACACCTGACCTATTAACCCACTAACGATCGGAAAATCAGCCAAAAAATCGGGCGATTTTTGACCCATCTATGGCCTGCTTAAATCGCTTATCTGTCCTAAGTTAATGCAATTCTAGTATGTTTTATGTAAGTCTTTATTTTGTTCCTTATCTCCCATCTCTGATCCATGTCAGGACAGAGAGAGACTGCCTGAGAAACCACATCAAAATCGCACCTATCTCTGAACAACTATGGGCTCATGTACACTGCAGCTCCTAAACTGACATTTAGGAACTGTTCAGCATTTTTTTCAGCAGCCCCTGAACTCTCCATACTGTTTTCCTATGTGTCCATGTACACATCGTCATTTACAGGCAGTTGAGTTTACAGTCGTTTTTTTTGAACGCACCAAACTTGCATTCAGGAGTAGATTTTTACCTGTGTTTCAAACGCCAAACACTTGTAAATGCTTGTAAATGCAGTTAACAGTGTTTGCGTTTAGAAGCGTTTTTTAACTGTTCCATGTCCAGATGCTGTCCAGAGCCTTTTTTCATCTTCAGAAATGCATGCAAAGCATTTTCCATGTATTCAAATGGACCCGGTACACCAGTGCAGTCAGTTCCAGGTTTGGCGTGAAGGAAAAAATTGGTAGAAGGTGCCGCATTATGCTCATGATAGGATCCATAGTGAATACAACCAGAAAGGACAGGTCATCTCAACACATACTGTTATCTCTGCTTCTGCTCTCTCTGTTTCTCTCAAAATGTCTGAAATAGTTAATTATTTACTATTTTCAGTGCATTCTGGGCATTTGGGAGGGTCTCCTGAGGTTATCTTTTAAAAATGCTTCTAAACGCAAATGCTTCTGAACTTTCGAAAACGCGGTATGCAAAAGCGGCTAAACTGACATTTTTTTAACCTACGTTTTCCAGCAGTCAGTTTCCATCGTTCAGAAGAGTTTTCCAAGCGCCCCGTATACATGAGCCCTACCTCTTGAAATCTCACTGGAAAATCCACCACGTCTATATGAACCTAGTCTTACTGTGCCAATTTGTTGGATTTCATTCCTTGCCAAGTTTGTTTACTGTTGTGTTGGTATGACTTGATTCTGTCTATACCTTTCCACTTCTGTAACAGTGACTGGTGCTGATAAACTAGACTGTCTTCCTTCTCTGAGGTGCATTATTTCCTGGTTGAGGCCCCAAGAACACTGGCATTCCATTGGGTCCTAGATTGCCATTCATACCACATGCACTCACGTACTACATTCCTTTCTGTCCAGGATTCTCTGCTTATGTACTAT